TCTGTCTGTCTGTCTGTCTGTCTGTCTGTCTGTCTGTCTGTCTGTCTGTCTGTCAATATATGTTAACAAACAAAATATTATCGATATATATGTTGTATATATATTTAAATATCATATTTGTTTTATGGTTCTTCTATTTTTTCCTCTTTATTTGAATTTAATTTACTATTTTCCCTACTAAAGTCACATTTTTAACCATGACTTTAAGTTATTTTGATACATCAGTTCCAGTTTTGGCTCTGGCACTGACTAATGTATATTCACAAATAGCTACTCTATATTGCATCCTACAGAGAGTAAATCATTTAAATGAGAGATCTATAAGGGAGCACTCATTTATTCTGGCCACCGTAGACAGGCTCATAGCCGGCCTGGTGAAAGGGATGGTTCTTTTTTCTTAAAATATGGACCTTTTTGCAGTTAATAGCCCTATTTTAGGTTTAAATACTTTTAAGCACTTTTTTTGCTGGATTAGCTTGTCAAATGGTCATCAACCACACTTTTTGATGTATCAAAAACATTTCCTAAAGATTTAGAAAAAAATATATATGAGAATAATACTTTTTTGAATAATACAAATGTATTACATTATTAAAAAAAAAAAAGATGCTGGTCAAGTTTTAAATTAAAAACAAGCCTATTGTTGTTTATTAGGCAAACACAATCTGGCCAGCGCATTAAACTTTCCTCAGTCATGCTGAAGCAACAGCCAAAGAGGATTCCGCTTGGTCTTAAAGATGGTTATCTTCACAATTTATTTTGGGATAGCAGTCAAAATAGAACAAATGAGCTCATGTATGGGACAAATTCTGGACCTTTGTCAGTGAGGGGTGGGTCTTTCGAACCACCCGACCCGAAAGGGTTATTCATAATTTTATCTCGACTCAGCTAAATTCTTGTAATGCCCTCTATGTGGGTACTAGCCATACCTCCATTACTCGTCTGCAGATTGTGCAGAATGCTGCTGCTCGTTAGCTGACGGTGACACACAAACGGGAGCACATTACACCCATACTGGCTCCCTGTACAATTTAGGATACATTTTAAGATGACTACTTTATTTTATTTTAACCACTTAAACTCTGCTGCTATTTTGGGATTTCCGCCTGGATTTTGCCTACCCAAATTTAAAAGCTTCCCAAATCCACATGCAGAGGTGTAAATGCAAAGATTTGGTATCATTTTAAAGAAAACCCTTTGAATTTTCATAAAACACTATTGAAAGTGTTTAAAATAATAAACACCTAAAAAAGAGGCGCTTTTTGTATTTTTTTTATAAACTCAAATTTGAAAGTGTACCTTTTAGGTTCTGTGTGGTCTAGCGTGCTGTAATTAATTTGAATGGTTCCTGCACATGTCTGTAATCATAGGAAAAAAGAAAAATGTCTCTATCATAATCTATGCAAAAGTTATTGCATTCCAACTGATGAGAGGTGCTGTACAAGCCACAGGGAGTGATCATTGTTTTCATATTTCACTATTCTTTTATTTGATCAAACATAAATCACTGTGTTTGGAGCACATCAGACATATAAAAGGATTACTTATGCACATCACCTCAAAAACAGAGGAGAAATGGCCCTGAAGCGCACAGCATAAGGTAGGAGATGACAGCTGTCTGTGCTATCTGGGGCTGCTTATTGATCATGAATGTATTGTTTACATTTCTGCGCCATGGAAACACCACAATTCATTCAACAACTGTTTGGGATATGAATATAAATGAGTAAAAAGAATGCTAGAACTGTATGAGCACCGGCAAGAGCTTTCATTTGAGCTATAACTTGTACATGTGTCATATGAAAAAATATGAAAATGAACCAATGTTCAATACCCAGCTCGGATATCCAAAATACTGTGTATTAAAGTGTAAATAACTTTTGTACAGTAAAATAAAAACCAAAGTGATGCATATGTGCATAAAATATAGATTCTACACTTTCAAACGAAACCACTTACAGGGGTCTGGTGCAACGCTAGCCCTTTAAATCTGAAAGCGAAATTCGATGACGCCACACAGAGTTTAAGTGGTTTTAACTGACTACTTTATCTGATCCACCTCCACTCTGCTCATATATCTCTCAGGTCTTGTTTGTGTAATTCCAGTTTGTTATATTTGACTTCATGTATGTTTGTTTATCTTTTTGTTGCACTCTTTGTAAAGTGTCCTTGAGCTCTGGAAAGGCGCTATATAAATAAAAATTATTATTATTATTATTAAGATTTTAGTTTTGGTGTTTAAATGCCTAAATGGACTAGCACCAAGATACTTGTCCTCATTAATCCAATTGTACACTTGGTCAAGGGCACTTAGATGTGCTGCTCAGCTACTTTTGGCTATTCCACGCACAAGGTTAGAAACAAGGGGGGACCGTGCCTTTGCAGTGGTGGCCCCCAAACTCTGGAATAATTTGCCTCTCCATGTAAGGTAGGCCACAATCCTTTCTGTTTTAAATCTAGTCTTAAAACCCATTACTCTTTGGCTTTTAATACCATATGAGAGTGATGTGTCTGTTGTGTTTGTCCTTTGTTTTAGATGGTATATGTGTGTACAGCACTTTGGTTAGCACTTGTTGTTTTTAAAATGTGCTTTATAAATAACATTTGACTTGACTAGATTCATTAACAGAGTGGTAAATACTACAATATAATCAGTAAAATACACTTTACTATAGTATGGTTTAAAAACACTATAGTATTCACAATATCATCTTTATTTTCATGAGTGCTGTGGTGTATTGTAGTGTATTACGCCACACATTTTGGCTTAAGATTTGGATCATTTAAAAAATAGCTTTCCTATAACGCGAAACAACTATAATCCAAGTCAAATTGCTTTCTCGAAGACATCTAAATCCTAAAGTATGTTCTATTAATTGAGCAGAGCCCAGGATCAGACCACCGCGTCGACGCCTCACACCTGCGGAAGTGTTTGACAAACGCATTCAGACAGGCGTGACAGATTATGGACACTGCGAGTGTGTGACGTGAATGCAAACACAGCGCAGCCATTATCATCTATGAAGTGTGCATAGTTTCATACGGCTGCATGTGTGTATAATTTAGCATACGCTCGTTCTGGGATTCAGCTGGACAGAAATAATAGTTCTGATTGAGCTCAGTTGGGTCATTTCTTCTGTTCATCCTCAGCCTAAATCATTCAGACTGAGAGCTTTAAAACAACTGAAAGCATTTGCAGTAAGAGTATTTGACAAGTGAGATTATGAAAAATACTGTAGTAATTTATAGTAAAAACTATTGTGTTTACTATAAATATACATACAGTTAATAACTGTTAATGAATGCTACAGCATAATAAAGTATAAACGATTATATAAACTGTAGTCTGGCTTAGATCAGGGGTTCCCAAACTTTTCAGTCCGCGACCCCCAAAATAACAATGCCAGTGACTCGCGACCCCCAATATCCTCTGAGGTGGTTATAAATACAGAAACCTTGCATGCAATGTCGCAGACACACCAATTAAATTTGTGTTAGTGCTTTAAATGTGCCAGAAAGTATAACCTGATGTTATAAAATCAAAATGCATCTGACGCTATTGCTGCCTTTAATATAATGTAATTACCCCAGGGGTCGCAATCCAATAGAACTAGTAACTATAAGCTACTATAGCAACTATATAGTATATAGTAACTATAAACGACTATTTTTATTTTCAGTATAGTTATGGATAAAAATGTTTAATTCTTATGGTTTAATAAAAATAAATAGATTTTTGGAAATCACCAGGCGACCCCCCTTCATTGCCCCGCGACCCCTCGGGGGGTCCCGACCCCCACTTTGAGAACCACTGGCTTAGATTATACTACAGAAAACTCCCACATGAAGAACAAAATACTATTGTTGTTTACAGTAAATACTACAGTGTTTTTAAACCATATTGTTGTGAAGTACTTGAATTAATATGCTGTGGCAATTCAACAGTTGCAATAGTATCAGAACCATTATAGTTATGTAAACAATTTACCTCATACACTCTCAGAAATAAAGGTACAAGAGCTGTAACTGGGGCAGTACCTTTTCAAAAGGTACAAATTTGTACCTAAAGAGTCCTTAGTGGTACCTCAAAGGTACATATCAGTAGCCAAATGCACCTAAAATGTTACTTTGAAGTACTAATATGGACTTTTCAGGTACAAATATGTACCTTTTGAAAAGGTACTGCCCCAGTTACAGCTCTTGTACCTTTATTTCTGAGAGTGTACACAATAGTTTAATGCAAATATAGAGTACAATAAATACTACAATTCCCCACTGTTATTGTCATTAAAAAAATAATTATACTACAGTATTCATTACAGTTTATCAGTTCACTTGTCGAGACTAGACTACCGTATGGTATCAGAGTGGTAAAAAATAAAAAATAAGCAGTAAAAATAAGCTGTATAATACATTTTACTATAGTATAGTTCAAAAACACTATAGTATTTACAATGTTATTTTTATTATCATGAGGGCCTTGGTGTATTGTAGAATATTTGTTTTGTTTATAATTATATCGTAGGTAATTTGTTTATATTACTATAGTTGTTGCATCACCATTACTAAAGAATTACCAAAACATTATAAAACATATATTTTACTATAGTATGGATCAAAAAACTAGAGTATTATTACTATAGCTAGTATTTTTATGCTATCTATCTATCTATCTATCTATCTATCTATCTATCTATCTATCTATCTATCTATCTATCTATCTATCTATCTATCTATCTATCTATCTATCTATCTATCTATCTATCTATCTATCTATCTACCTATGCTTGTGTCAAAAACAGACACAACATTATAGATATAGGTAACTTTAGCCTTGAAAGGAATTAGTTTCTGGCTGAAAATACAGCGAAGACGAGGTTTTTTTATTGAAGACGAGGAAATTTTACAAAAAAAAAAAAAATCCCAACAAAATACTATAGTTATGTATAGTAAATACTATAGTGTTTTTAAACCATACTGTTGTGAAGTACTTGAATTAATATGCTATGGTAACAACAATTATAGGTATGTAAGGAATTCACATAATACAGTAGTTTTCTGCAAACACTGAGTATGTTAAACTACAATTCACCACAGTTATTGTCTTAAAAAGTTCATTAGTTAAGACTAGCCTAACACATGGCATTCATTAACAGAGTTATATACTGTAAAATACACTTTACTATAGTATGGTTCAAAAACACTACAGTATTTACTCTATCATTTTTATTTTCATGAGGGCTGTAGTGTATTGTAGTATATTATACCACAAATTTTGTATAAACAGTTTTGTTTATACAAAATAATTACCAAAACAGATTAAAACAAGCATTTTACATGGATGAATAACACTACAGTATTTGTAATATATTGCTATAGCTAGTATAGTATTTTTATGCTATATATTATAGCCTTAGTGTCAAAAAAACAGACACAACATTTTAGATATAGGTAACTTTAGCCTTGAAAGGAATTAGTTTCTGACTGGCAATACTGAGAAGACAAGCTGAACCCAACTTAAGAGACATTGAAAATGGAAAGTTGAATCAATCTATCTATCTATCTATCTATCTATCTATCTATCTATCTATCTATCTATCTGTCTATCTGTCTGTCTGTCTGTCTGTCTGTCTGTCTGTCTGTCTGTCTGTCTATCTATCTTCCAATCAGAAACAAACACAATGTTATCGATGTGGGTAACTATCTCAAATGGTGTCAGAGTTTAATTTTCTGATTTAATTTTTCATTTTTACATTAAAAGTTACTTTAAAAATATTATATAATAAATGAAGTACAAATTCCAAAAACAGAGTCTTGTGCAATACTTTTGATGTTTTTCTGAACATTTTGATACTGGTTTTATTGTGTGATTTCATATGCTTGAATTGTTTAATTCATTCGTAAGGGTAATTTTATTTTATTGAAAAAATTAAGCCTTGTGCAACATAAAGGGCACATATTTATGCCTATCTGACCTATTATTGGCTAAACTATAACATGGGCAAAGAATTGAATTAGTTTGAAACTGAATGTCTAAAGAATGTCAAACGTCAAACTAACTTTACCGCAGTTAGCCATGAGGGGATTGGTTTTTGACTGAAAATACATCTATCTATCTTCATGTCACAAACAGACACAATGTTATCAATATGTACAACTTTAGCCTTGAAAGAGATTAACATTAGTTTCTGACTGAAAATACATCTAATATATCGATCTATCTACACTGTAAAAAATCCTTATGCCACAAACTGACACAACATTATCGATACATGCAACTTAGGCCTTGAAAGGAATTCGTTTCTGACAGAAAAACCCGCGAAGACGAGCTGAACTCAACTTCAAATGAGTGACGTCGCTAATGAAACGTCAAAATAGAATGTGCGTTCCATGCGCGCGACAGTTTAACAATCAAAACTCACCGCGAGCACGGCGCGCTCCCGCTCCAGCAGATCGGCGAGTCTGTTTAATAACCTTCCGCGGCTCGACGCGTCCATCCTCCGCCACACCGAGCCTCTCTGACCCGCAGCTTTAGCAGCTTTCACCGCCTCATCCACATCAGCCTGAACAATCACAGCAGCATGTTAGACTACAGTGACAACAACCACGTGACATATCAAAGGTAAATCAATCAATTATAGCTATCATTAATTTAAAATTGCAGAATAATAGCGTGTAATATTGTTAACGAATCATTCCTGTATCAAAAGGCAAATCATAGTGAAGCTAAATAACAGGCCATGTATGCCTACATTAATTCTCAAATCATATTTATACCATAATAACAACAACATAAATCATTATCTGCAGGGAAAATCATTAATCATGCAACATAAAATAAACTCAAATCATTTTCATAAGCATATCTAGTTTAACAGTCTAATGAAAGGAATATAATTTGGACACACTTCACAATAAGGTTGCATTCCTGTTAATGTGTTTAGCTACACATTGACTACAAAAACTACAGAGGTTATTAATTATATTTAATGTTAATTTAAATGTTTAGTAATGCATTATTTGAATAATTACGAGTTAACCAGTTAATACATTAGTTAGAAGAACTAACAAGCTTTAATTTCATTAAGCAATGTTCACAAAAATGCTGTAAATGTGTTGTTCATTGTTTGTGACCTATAATTTAATAGTATATCAGCTAAATACAATAATGTAATTGCATAAAACAAATAATACACTCTTTTACATGACAAACTCTAAAAATCTCATAGATATCATCAACAAAATGAGTTTATTTTCTTAACCAGATGTCATATATTTACATTATTAATTATAACTGTAATTAAAAAAGACATGACAGTTGGATATCCTTTTATTTAAATTGATTTAAATAGTCAAGTTCCTCTCACTTTATCCGCCTCCTCGATGTCGCAGATCTTGACACCTGTTGCCGGGTTGATTGTAGGAAACTGCTTCCCTTTGCTCGACGTGTGCCATTCGTTATTGATGAAAATCTGAAACAAATACGATTAAGATGTATTCGATGATTAAAATGATAAGATGTATTCGATGATCAAATAGATGAATAAGAATGACAACATGATTATGAAAAGCTTTTCCAAACTATGAATAGAAACCTTTCAATAAATAAATACAAACTGTTAGTTCACCGACTCATCCATAAGGTATAAATAGAAATAACAAGTGCGTGTGTTTGTGTGTGTGTGTGTGACTATTTAGGTCAAAAATCTGCCTACAAATATGATTTAATTATTTGAATATTTTTAAATATCTACTTCATTAACACTGTCATTACAAAATAAATAAATGTGAAACATATGTAATTATGTAAATATCTAAAATAAAGTTTATTATAACTTAAATAAGTTCATTAACTTGCTTGTACACAAAATATGTGTTAACTTTTCCAAAATTTGAATTAAAGCAAACTATTAGATCACCGACTCCACACACATGAATAGAAAGTGGTTTAGAAATGTAAAAAACATAATTAACATAATAACGTAAATAACATAAATAACACTATATATATATATATATATATATATATATATATATGTGTGTGTGTGTGTGTGTGTGTGTATGTGTGTGTATCATTTAATACATATATGTGTAAATATTTAAATCATTAACCCATCTTCAAATATAGTTGAATACTTTAAAATAAAATAATAAGCTTTTTAATAAGTAAATAAATCTAAAAACAATATTTTAAAATTACAAAATAAAACATTAAATTGTAATTACAAAATAAACACCAAATATTATATAATTATAAATTTAACAAGTTTATTAATGCGCCTGTACATAAAATACGTACAGGAATATGGAATAAATACATGAATAAATGAGTTTATTAACTTGCTTGTACACAAAATATGTATTAACATTTTTAAAATATGAATAAAAAAAGTTTAATAAAGGCAAACTATTAGATCACTGACTCCTCCACACATATGAATTGAAAGTTATTTACAAATGTTATATATATATAAATGTAATAATTTCAAATAACGTTTAACATTGTAATTAAATAATTATAACTTAAATAAGTTTATTAATGCGCCTGCACATGAAATACGTACAGGAATATGAAAACATAACTATCCATCCCTCGTTTACAACCTCTCAAATTAACCCACTTTCAAATGAATGTTTCTCAGTATAACTTGGCTATTACACTCAAATGACAGTGAACTGACCAGTAGGTTTTCCAAATCAGTATCGTGTTTATTGGTGCTCCTTAATCTTTGATCTATATCTAATATTTAGGTCATTAACCTGCAAATATGACCGAGAAATCTACAAACCTACAAATATGATTAAAAAAAAAATTAAAAATTAAAAAATATGAAAAAAAAAGAAATAAGAAAATTGAAATAAGGAAAAATGGAATAATTTTAAATATCCCGTTCATTAACACTGTCATTACAAAATGAAAAAAAACATCTAATAATGTAAATATTTAAAATAAAATGTATTAAAAATAAGCTAAATAAACTTAAATACGTTTATTAACTTGCTTGTTCAAAAAATATGTATTAACTTCTATAAAATAGGAATAAAAAATGTGTGTGTAAATATTAAAGCCCTTAACTGATCTACACATATTGAGTACTTTTAAATAAGAAATTAAGTTATTTAATAAGTAAAAATTTAATAATTTAAAGCTACGTTTAACATTATACAACTTAAACAAGTTTATTAATGTGCCTGTACATGAAATGCGCACAGGAATAGGGAATATGAAAACATGACAATGCATCCCTCGATTAAAACCACTCAAATTAACCTTCTTCATTAATTATTTTTCAATAATAATTCACAAATATGATTAAGAAATATGGAAAACTTAATTCATTTAAATATCTAGTTAAGTAACACTGTCATTACAAAATCAATAAAACTAAGAAAATATCTATTATATAAAAATCTCAAATAAAATGAATTTAAAATAAGTTAAATAAACTTAAATGAGTTTATTAACTTGCTTGTACACAAAATATGTTTTAACTTCTATAAAATATTAATAAAAAAGTTTAATAATGGCAGACTATTAGATCACTGACTCCTCCACACAAATGAATTGAAAGTTGTTCAGTGCGTGTGTGTAAGTCCTTAACCCGTCTACAAATATGATTAAATAGTTTTAAATAACACAATAAGTTGTTTAATAAGTAAATAAGTAAAGATTTAATAATTGTAAATAATGTTTAATTATATAATTATTACTTTGAAAGGTTTATTAATGTGCCTGTACATTAAATGCGTACAGTAATATGGAATATGAAAGCATGATAATGCATCCCTCGTTTAAAACCACTCAAATTAACCTTCTTTCTAAATTTTTTTCTCAGTATAACTTGGTTATTATATTCATATGACAGTAAACTGATCAGTAGGATTTCCAAATCAGTATCTTGTTGCTCTTTAATTCACCAGAACAACTTTCTGAATATCTATATGTAATATTTAGGTCTGTAACCTGCCCACAAAACTGATTAAGAAATTACGAGAGAAAAAAAGAATAATTATTAATATCTAGTTCATTAACACTGTCATTACAAAATAAAAATATATATAATTATGTAAATATCTCAAATCAAATGTATTAAAAAAAAGTTAAATTAACTTAAATACGCGTATTCACTTGATTGTACACAAAACATGTATTGACTTTTATGAAATATAAATAAAAAAGTTTAATAAAGGCAAACTATTAGATCACTGACTCCTCTATGCATGAATAGTGTGTATATACTTGCTTGTGTGTGTAAATATTAAAGTCCTTAACTCATCTACAAATGATTAAATACATTTAAGTAACATAATAAGTTGTTTAATAAGTAAATAAATAAAGAGTTAATAATGTTAAATATTGTTTAAAATTGTAATTATATAACTATGACTTAAATAAGTTTCTAAATGTGCCTGTACAAGAAATACGTACAGGAATGTGGAATATGAAAACATGACAATGCATCCCTCGTTTAAAACCACTCAAATTAACCCACTTTCCAATTAATTTTTCTCAGTATAACTTGGTTATTATATTCATATGACAGTGAACTAATCAGTAGGATTTCCAAATCAGTATCTTGTTGATTGTTGATCTTAAATTCACCAGAACAACTTTCTGAATATCTACATCTAATATTTAGGTCATTAACCTGCCCACAAAAGTGATTAAGAAATTAGGAAAAATGTAATAATTTTAAATATCTAGTTCATAAACACTGTCATTACATAAAAAGAAAACAAATATATACCTAATTATATAAATATCTTAAATTAAAAGTATTAAAAATAAGTTAAATAAACTTAAATGAGTTCATTAATTTGCTTGGACACAAAATATGCATTACCTTTAATTTAAAGACAAACCGTTAGATCACACGTGCATGTGTGTGTAAATATTAAAGTCCTATTAAAGCCCCCATCTAAAAATATGATAATAAAATATTTTAAAATATATTTCAAAAATAAAAGTTAAAATATAACTTAATAAAATATTAAGTTATTCAATAAGTAAATAATTAAAGATTTAATAATTTTAAATAATGTTTAACATTGTAATCATATAATCATAGCTTAAATTTAATATTAAACTAATGTTCATGTACATGAAATGCGTACAGTAATATGCAATATGAAAACATGACAATGCATCCCTCGTTTAACACCACTCAAATTAACCTAATTATTTTTCCCATATGACAGTAAACTGATCAGTAGCTTCTAAATCAGTATCTAGTTTAATGTGGCTCTTTAATCCACCAGACCAACTTTCCTAATAAACTTTGCAAACCTTTAAAAGTCATCAGCTTCTATATAAAGCTTTATTTTGAACAGCTGAAGTTGTATAACTCCTCAACAGGAATAGTAGAGTTTTACATTAGAAGCTTTACCTTAGTGTGTTTGATCTCAGTGATCTTCACAGGTTGAGGCAGAGGTGGAGGGGACGTGTTTCGAGAGTCCCCGTTCTCTATAGTCCCGTTCTGTGCCATAGCAATGAAGAAGAAGAAGAAGAAGAAGTGCTGTAGAGTAGATTATTGTGTGGACTGAACATGATTCCACATCCAGCAGACACTTTATAAGAAGTTTTTGAAAGGTCCTCCCCTTCAGGCAAGTCTGTTCTCCGCCTACCATGACAAACACAGTCCCACCTGCCAGTGAATCAGCCATTTAGACACCAAACATGCTGTTTTCCAGATCCGCCTTTCCTTTGGGAAGCCTCCGCAGATCAGGCTGTGGAAAACCGCTGCGCTTTTGGAATGTTTTTGCGATCCTCTAAAGTGATTGGCTGTGTCTTTACGGCAGGCACCCGGAGGTAATGAGTGTGAATTAATTGTCCGGCAATATTTACATTGTAACACGGCGTCTTTGATCTGCTGGCGGCGGGACGGATTGGAGGCGACGGCGGGCCGGGCATCAGATGGGCCAAGGTGTGATGCGTTCTGATGTTCATCTCGAAGTTGGTTTTTGCACCTGGGCCTGGTGAAGTTGAGTGGAGTTGAATACGTGCAAACAAATGCTTTTGTTCGGCGGGACAAAGACTTTCCCAGCTTTGGGCTCATACTCGGACACTGTTGCCATTGTTTCCCCTCCATTGCTTCTTGTCACTCTTCTTGTCAAAGTTTAATTAGGACAACGAGCTCTCGCGGGCCCATTTCTCACTTCAGCAGCTTTCTAAACACGTCCTAATGAGGGCAAGGCTCAGAGAGAGAGAGAGAGAGAGAGAGAAAGAGAGAGGCAAAACAAGAAGAAACATATTGCAATGTAAAAACGCAATGAAAAGAATTATGATATTTAAGTCAGGTTTATTCATATAGAGCTTTATACTGTTTAGCCCGGTTCAAAACAGCTTCACAGGAACAAAAGAGAATTGCTGCATCAAATATGAGGAAATTACAAAGTAAATTAAAATCATATTTGATTTAGAGTATTTTTGCGAGTTGCTTTTGAAGTGTCACATTAACAAATTGATTGTGCTTACTTCAATTATGAGGCAAATTAGCATTTTTGCAGATCTAAAAAGACAATAGTGACGTTATTCGGCTCATTTAAGTTCACTGTTGATTCAGATCTGATCAATAACAGTGTCGATTTTTGCAAAACTCAGCTATAAAACGGATTGGCAGCTCTAAAAAGACGATCTAGTTTGTGTCATTCAGCTCAAATAAGAAAGAACGAGAAGAAACATGTTGCAATGCAAAAATATAAAGTATAAAAATATAAAGAATTGTGATAATTAAGTCACATTCATTCATATATAACAGGGGTCACCAATCTCGGTCCTGGAGGGCCGGTGTCCCTGCAGGTTTTGGCTCCAACTTGCTTCAACACGCCTGCCTGAATGTTTTAAGTATACCTAGTAAGACCTTGATTAGCTTGTTCAGGTGTGTTTGATTAGGGTTGGAGCTAAGATCTGTTGGACACCGGCCCTCCAGGAACAAGTTTGTTGACCCCTGATATAGAGCTTTATACGGTTCAAAACAGCTTCACAGAAGCAAAAGAGATTCACTTTATTAAATAAGAGAAAATTCGTATGACATTCAGATCAGATTTGAATCAGCATATTTGTGAGTCGCTTTTGTAGCGTCACATTAATTAAAAGGCAAATTATCATTTTTTGCAGATTTAAAAAGACAATTGTGACGTTATTCGGCTTATTTCAGTTCAGTGTTGATTCAGATCTGATCAATAACTGTCAACTCTAAAAAGCTCAGCTATAAAACAGATTCACAACTCTAAATAGACAATGTAGTTAGTGTTATTCAGCTCAAGTAAATTCTGTAGGAATTCAATTCAATCAAAGCATCGATGTTGCAGAATGAGAAGAAATGTATTGCAATGGAAAAATGCAGTGAAAAGAATTGTGATATTTAAGTCACATTTATTCATATAGAGCTTTATACAAAACAGTATTTGTCAGTCACTTTTTGGATAAATGTAAATGTCATGGCATACTAATAAACAGGATTAATTAAAGAGTCTTCAATTAGTAGGCAAATTATTATTTTTGCAGACCTAAAAACACAATAGTGTCATTATTTGGCTCATGTTAGTTCAATGTTGATACAGATCTGATCAATAACAGGCACAATTATTGCAAAACTCAATAATAAAACATATTCAGGGCTCTAAAACGACAATATAGTTTTGTTATTTAGCTCAAATAAATTCACTATGAATTCAATTCAATAAATGCATGTATATTGCAGAGTTTGCCACAGTATAAAAAATCCAACTTATAAATTGTTTACTCGGTTTAAAGTTGTAAATTGGGTGGAGATATTTTTGAGCTTGAATTTACCCATAAAAACAATTTAACTGCATGTTTGTTCAGTGAAAGTAAAAAAATGAGTTGAGTAGACTTTAAATTTTGATTTCTTTATTTGAGCATTTACCACTGTAAAAAAAAAAAGTTGAGTTAACTTAAATTTTTAAAGCAACTGGCTGCAAAGAACTTTTGAGTTTATTAAGCTTTAGTGGTTGAAGTTGTGCTGGATTATCAGATAAAGTATACTTCACTTTAAAAGACAGCCTTTTCAGTCAACTTAAAAACATTATTTGGCACAAGTTCAACCACTGAAGCTTAATAAACTCAAAATTTCATGCAGCAGGTTGCTCTTTAAATGTTTAAGTCAACTCAACTTTTTATTTTTTACAGTGCAGTTATTAAATGTAAATAATTCAGCTTTGTTTCTAGCAGGTTCATACCAATAAATTATCTCACAAGCAAATGGGTACATTTTACGTTTTGTCAAATTAGTGGCTAATTCATACAAATTAATACGAGTTCAGTCATACAAAAATGTAAGATTTTTAAAAGGAGGTCTGGTACCAAACCCCACCCCTAACCCCAACACTGAAAAATTATTTCCTGGATTTACAATTTTTTAAAGGTAAGTGGTTGCAAACAGTTTATATGGACTGAAAGAAAATGGATTTAGTAATGTTCAATTCAGCCAATACAAATAGTTTGCAAACACTTACCTTAAAAAATCTAATGAATCAGTTTTTTCAGTGAACCATCATTGGGGGATGAGCAAATCATACTAAACTGTACAAATGCGAAACATCAGAGACGAAGCAAGCAAAGTGAATCAAAAGAGATCTTTAGTTCCTCTGAAAAATACTCAAATGTTTTATATATAAATATATAGTTGAAGTCAGAATTATTTCCTTTTTAAATATTTCCCAAATGATGTTTAACAGAGGAAGGAAATTTTCACAGTATGTCTGATAATATTTTTTCTTCTGGAGAAAGTCTTATTTGCTTTATTTAGGCTAGAATAAAAGTAGTTATACATTTTTTCATGACCATTTTAAGGTCAATATTGTTAGCTTCTTTAAGGTATATATTTTTTCGATAGACTACAGAACAAAAAATTGCTATACAATAACTTGCTTAATTACCCTAACCTGCCTAGTTAAACTAATTAACCTAGTTAAGCCTTTAAATGTCACTTTAAGCTGTATAGAAGTGTCTTGAAAAATATCCAGTCAAATATTATTTACTGTCATCACGGCAAAGATAAAATAAATCAGTTTTTAGAAATGAGTTATTAAAACTATCATGATTAGAAATGTGTTGAAAAAAATCTTCTCTTCCTTAAATTTAGGAAAAAAAATAAACAGGGGGGGGGGCTAATAATTCTGCCTTTAAATATATATATATATATATATATATATATACACACACACACACACACACACACACACACACAACAGTACTGTCTGGTTCTCGAATCTGATTGGCTGATAGCCGTGCGATATTCTGCAATATCAGAACTCCTACAGCCTCTTTACTCAACTGTTTAACTGTCAGCTTATGATTTGAATCCAATGTGGAAGAAAGTAGTTCCTCATACAAAAGGGTTTTTGAAACTCTCTGTGTTTGATTTTCCTTCTATATACACAATTATGCCATCAAACTGTTGTTGTATAAATGCAATATCACACTCGTAGCAGTGCGATATGGCTGTATATCGGCACTGGTAGGGGCACTAAGGCACTCTGCCTGCGCTCACTGCTACTCGTGTGATATTGCTCATATATAGATAGATAGATAGATAGATAGATAGATAGATAGATAGATAGATAGATAGATAGATAGATAGATAGATAGATAGATAGATAGATAGCAATTTGCATCATTTTTTCTCATAGATTATTTGCAGTGTATCATGTAATTCACTGTAGTTCTTTCCCTCAGTAAATCAGTTAATTTGACAGTTTTGTATATTTGTCTGCTCACTGTGTCATTATCCAGCTCACTTCAAGTCAAATTTGGTTCACGTTGACAGAAAAGAGCAAAATTTGGTTCATCCACTAGCCATCAAATCCAACCGTGTTCACTTTTGATCAGCGGCTGTCAGTGGTGAAGGGTTTGAGCTGGTGGGAAAGCAGAGGCAGGTGCTGGTCCTCCAGGCTCCGCTGCTCTGCTTAATTGGCGTTCAACACCTTCTAAATGAAGGTCAGGGATCTTCTGAGCTCCAGACTTCAGGCGCGTTTAGCAGCATTACCCCACTAATGCTAATGAGCGCATCCTCAAAGAAACGCAGACACTTCCCTCAACACAGCTCAATGAAAGCGCACAAGACAGACAACAATGCTGAGATTTAACTGAAGACAACAGGTGCTCCAACTACTGAAAACACACACATACACACTTCATATCAAGTAATGCATGAAAGCTTTTTCAAACAATACATCGTGAGCTCGTATAAATGACAATATTCCCAGAGATTATGTACCGTGGTTCTTACGTGGGATTTGAATAAATCTCTAACACTATTAACTTTGGCTCATTCACACCCTGAGATTACCGACAGATGCTTTACTTTTTTTAAACTACTTCATTTATTTACACCATTAGTTTTATGAGGGGTTAAACAATATATTGTGGTACAATTTAATGCAATACAAAAATGTCACAATATGCATCGTGGCCTTATGACAATTTTATTGCAATATGACATCTATTTTCTTTTATTGGTTGAGCTACATT